TCCATAAAGAGATCGAAATCTCGAATATTCCGCAAATCGATGGAATATTCATATAGAGGTCTAACCTAAATCATCCTAGTTCGAGAAATACGCCACTAACGGTCTGGAATCATGGATAATTCTTAGGAGAGTAGAATCAAGTGAGAAATATAATTGTACCCGCAATCTTTATCAATAAAGTTATGTTTCTTCTTATTTTATTTTAATTGCAATTTATTTTGTATCACTTTCAAATTTGTTGCAAACAAATGATTCTAGTAAATATATATAATTATGAGGTTACTAGGACTAGAAACACGGGAGCACAAGGAATTTTACAATATCTTAAACCACTACACTAAACTTTTAGCTTGAAAATTTGACCTTTATATAGGATGTAATTTTCCGGAAGGATTGGTCCGCCCCTCTGCACTTCCATCTTAAGTGACTTGAGGTATCTGAGAGCTTCATCAAGAACGGTGACGGTATTAATCCTGCTGGCACCAAAGAAGCAATAAACTGGACTAGAAATGTGTTTTCCACTTGGGAAGTTTTCAATTAGTTGTAGTAAAAAAGCACTGACAATTCCAATCAACAGTAATGCTTAATGAAGTCATTCTGATTTTGTATACACTGAAAGAGAACCAACAAATCCCAACTTCCACAGGCTTTTCTGAATAAGAGCAAGCAATCCCAACCTCCCCATCATGACGATGTAAGTAACTTTTTCAGGACGGTTTAATGGAATTGGTGGCTTAAAGTTTATCCTTTAAGTAAATGTCTAAAGTATATTGAATAAAATAAGTATTTGTATATGTTGCACGTGCATCTCGTGTCAATTAGCACATGTATATACTAGAAACCAAACGACTCTCATATCAATTACCGTATATATGATGAATGAATGTTACTAGTTGGGTTCTACTTTACACTTTAGGCATCCATGGCTTATCACTCAGTTGAAGGATAATATCTGCTTCAATTTGTATGATAAGAGAATGTTTGGTTGCTCCTTAATTAGCCCTAATACTGCCATTAACCATGCCTTTGATGTTATGAACATGTATTATAAGTCAAATCCATAACCCATCACTTGTTGGTTCAGAAATAGTGCTCTGGTGACCATCACTGATCCTGGTAATTATAATAACTTCTCTTTTTTTCAATTACTACTAGAGAGTTTTTATTAATTTTTTTCTTTTCAAATTTTGGATTGCAGAAAAAAAATTATTAAATTGAAAAAAAAAAAATAGGAGTTGTTTCTATGTAATCTATATGTGAGTCGTGAAATTGGCTCTTAACGATAAGCTACCTACATTAGTTACACCATTGTGAGGTAAAATGCAGGATGCTCTGTGCATCAAACTGTCATTTTCCAAGGTTTAGTAAAAAAAAAACCTTAAACCAAAACAGTTCGCTTAAAGAAGAATGAAAATAAAGAAACATTCATGTAGAGGACCACCATATGTAAAGTTACGAAATCGTCATAAAATTCTATTTCATGATTCCTGTTGTATCTCACTATTGCTTCTCCCTTTATAACTAATTGCTCATCAAGTTTCCCTTGACAGCTTTTTATGTTTGCTGTTATAATTGCTGGATTTTGCTTGCGTTTTTTTGCCGTCTATACAGCATCAGTCAAACGATGAGATGTTCAAGTGTTAAAATTATTATCCTTCATTGAATCAAATATACTTTTAATTTCAAAATGTGCTTGTTTGGCAATAGTTTTGGATCCAGGATTGAATATGTTGTCAAGCAAAATAAGTATAGGTGATATCATATATTACACCTTAATGGTACTCTTGTTGTTTTCCACTGCTCAATATAGTTTCCAAATGCTAAAGAAACTTCATTTCCCTCTTTTGTCAAATTTAATTTGTTTTATATAATACCGGATAAGATAGAGCCTATATGGAATGACATGAGCAACCTAATTTTTTTAATCTTTGAATGTGTGCACAACAACTCCAAAACTTACCATCTGAATTTCTTGGAGTGCTTCATATTTTCATTTTACAATACTTTTTGTATTTATAAACATCTGATTCAATTGAATATACAGACTTTTCGGATTGTTGAGACATGGCTATCAAATTTCAAAAATCAAAATGTAAAGTATTAAAAAGTAGAAGATGAATGAGAAAAAATCAAACCGAAAACCGAACCAAACCGCAAATCGAGAAAAAAAAAACCCGACTAGTGGTTGGTTTGACTTGGTTTGATATTAGAAAAAAAAACCCAACTATATTTGGGTTGGTTTGGTTTTAATTAAAAAAAAACAACTCGACATTATATATATAATTTTAAAATTTTATTTCATACATAAAAATATTTACTTTGATATAATTTTAAAATATTTCTTATACTTTTTCAAAGTTTTTATCTTTTAATATATTATTTTTTCAAGTTTGAAACTTAGAATTCTGAATGGTTCAATAAAGATTATAGTCCACAGATGTTGGTAATTATAATAAAGCTTAAATCAAAATCAAATTAATACTAATGCAAAAAGAAAATCAATTCAACACTAAGAATGATAATAATATTGAATATTTGTTCTTTGGTTTTACATTGGTTTATTCAAATACATAATCTAATTTTAATTTCCTTTAATATTTAGTCATGTAACTAATACTTATTAAATTTACTTTAGCATGATTTAGTACTTTTAAATTATGATCATTTTCATTATGACTTGTTAATTTGCAATATTTGTTTTACGCAATTTCATTATCATTATTGTTTTGTTGGATATTTTAGTATCATTACTCATATAATATTTGTGTTATTTTCTTAAGAAACACCTTAGATAGTTGTAGTTTGGTAGGACTAAAGAAATATTTGAAGTACAAGTAAATTATATGTTTGTATGAATACTTTACCGGAAAAAACTCAAAAATCCGAAAAACCCGAAAAAACCCGAAGTTGAAAAACCTGAGTTTTATTGGTTTGGTTTGGTTTTTAGATTTAAAAATTCGACACAAATGGTTTGGTTTGATATTTGAAAAACCCGAACCCGAACCAACCCGGCCATGTACACCCCTACTCATATTTATTGTTGAAGAAAGAGATATAATTTCACATGAAAAAGAAAGAGATATAGATTCACGTGAGGAATTATAAAAAGAATCTTAGTTCGCCCATTTATCGACGAACTACCTTTAAAGTTTGTATAATATTATTTTGGATAAATTTAGAGTCAACGGGGATAACAATATTAAAATATGATAGTTATAGCGTTCGCCCATAAATGGACAAACTATCTATTTAGTATGTGTTTTTAGATAGTGTCCTTTCTAGTGTTTAGAGTTTGAGAAATATCCGTTTTAACGCCTGACTCTAATAATGAAAAATAAGCACACAACTTTCCAAAGTAACTTAATTAGGCCAATCAGGTTATTTTTGTAATTACAATGAATTGATCGAACTCCATTGGTTAAGGAAAGGAGTTTGTAGATCCTTTGAATTATTTTGAGTTGTCTAACAATTTTATCCTTTAATTTGCTTGCATCAGTGCTTATGTAACAGGTGATCAGGTGTATTTACTGTGGATCCATCCCTTGCTTTTGGACTATCCATGCCATAAAAATAAAGTATTTTTATAATAAAGTTTGTTTTGAAATTTACCTTCTTACATAACATGTGGAACCAACAAAAGTACTCCCTACTCGTCCATTTTTGAATTGACACACATATTAAGAAAATAATAATTGACATAGTGGATTTACCATTTTACCCCTATTAATTATGAAGTGAATAAATTAAAAATTTAAGATTTTTAAGATTCAAAGTAACTAATTGAGGGTATAATAGGTAAAAAAAAATTGTCCTTGATTAATTTGTCAAAATGGACAAGTAATTAGGGACAACTAAAAAAGGAAATGTGGACAGGTAATTAGGGACAGAGGGAGTATAATTATTTTTTTTGTGTGTGTGACGTTACTAGAATTTAAATCAACTCTCATTAGCTCAATAAATCATTGTTTTCTGTTTTAAAAAAAAATTATCCTAATTATTATTTTTAGGTGAAAGTTAATCCCCTGAAGTAACATGAACTAAATTAAAGAGTAGTCTAGATGTGTCAGGCGTCCAAAAGACATATTACTCCGCAAACCAATTCATGGAAATGAATTTCCAAATTATTATTGATATCTACATTCATAAGGAATGATAAATCACAAAGGAAATATAGCAGTTGACTTGCTACATCAATGAAATAATTATGATATTGGGTAAACAATCTGTTTTGATACATGTTTTTAAGAGCATGCTCTTTTGGTCCCATCGATTGAAAAACATGTTCTTTAGGCTCCCAAAACATAAATGAAAATAATTCCTTTTTTTCATAAAAAGAAAACTTATAGTATTAAAATTTAGCATAGTATTATTGGGTTCATGCTCTACACGGACTGTAATAGTAATTGAGTGAGAGGAAGAAACGGTAAAGAGGGGATCGAAAGTCCTAATTCAACGGTAAAATATTTAATTTTTACTTATTCATGTTTGACTTCACTTATAAGAAAATAATAAATAATAAGATAATTTTACAATATCACCCCTATTAATTAAAAATCATCGAAATGTTAGGGTATGAATCATAGCATTCAATAACAACGGTAAAATAAACACAAAATGATAAAGAGTAGTAAATTAAATCTTGAATTCTTGATTTTCCAAACTGAACAAGTCCGAGAAAGTATTTAGGGGTGGGTGCCAAATCAGAAACTTTGTAAAATAAGAGCATTTCATTCTTTAAAAAAAGGTAGTAAAATTATGAAAAGATGAAATTCTGAGGGCATAATCATATCATCCAAATTTATAGGCCAAAGCAAAACTAAAGTGGTGTACTTTACAGTAACAGCACTAGCCAAGTGGAGCAGCAGAGAGGATCACACAGCACAACACATAATCCCAATGTCTCATGATTCCCAACAGACAAAAAAGTAACTAAAGATCACAGCATGCAAAGATTAAATAAAATAAAAAGACACTCGAGATTCGACCATAACACGCTTGCATAAAGTGTAATCATCAACCCATTATCCATTAAACAAATCATCAAAGTCATAGAACAACAATAACAAATAGCAGCTCCAATAGGTGAAAGTTTCACATATTGGAGAAATTATTCAAATACCTTAATAGAGTTGGCAACTAGTGGAAACATATTATATGCTAGGATGAGAAATTAGATATAGCAGCTAGCTAGCTACAGCAGACTTATTGTCCTATCGCCGAACAAAGGACCATATTCTACGTTACGTTACCCCCTCCAGAGCAGCAACTCAGCAATACGGTGTAAGAAGTTCTTCACATATGCAAAAGATATGACTACGGTTCATAATCACTTCGACTGAGATGGTGATAAAGGAAGCAAAGTTACCCATACCACAAAGGAAATCAAGCATATGTCTTCAGATTATCGACTCCAAGCTTCTGCACTTCCATCTTAAGTGACTTGAGGTATCTGACAGCTTCATCAAGAACGGTGACAGTATTCATCCTGCTAGCACCAGGGATGATTCCCTTTAATACCTTGACCATCTTCTTAAGTTTCCGGCGTTTTCTCTCACTGCAATTGCTAGTACTACTGCCAGAGGATTTCCTGAAAGAAGAGGTTCTGCTCTTTTTGGATTGACAATCATAGTTTGAGTATGATTCAGGGGAACTGCATCCATAGTTTGCATCGGTGCGTGCAGTGCTCACCTCTTCTTCATCATATTCCTCGTGTTCTTCCTCTTCCAAGCTGAGCAATGCATTTATATCATCTGAATCTTCCTTCAAATATGAAGAAACTTCTGTATTCTCATTGTTAACAATTTTTCTCTCCATGCCGTTTTGGAAGCAGGTTGAATTATAATTCAAATCAGGATATGGGAACTTGGAGGCCATGGCAGGGTGGTACATGATCTGGCTTCGGTAATCAGTCTGATCAAAGATGATGAAATTCTTTGGACATGCCTCAGAGGACTGAAATTCGAAACCATGAAAGGGCACAGAAGATTTGAAACCAGTAGGGAGTGCCATTGTACCAAAGACTGATGGAGCAGGAATATCGAATATATTACCACCAGCTGCATTGTCTTCCAGAGAGACAAAAGGCTTTTGAGGGGAAAATTGATAGTTATTCTGCATGAGTAACTAAGTCAAAAGAACCAATAAACTGGACTAGAAATGTGTTTTCCACTTGGAAAGTTTTAAATATGAAATAGCTAAGAGTTACGAAAGGCACAGACAAACGAGAGTAACGTTCAAGGTGTATTAGTTGTAGTAAAAAAGCACTGACAATTCCAATCAACAGTAACGACATTCAGTGCTTAATGAGGTCATTCTGATTTCCTATACACTGAAAGAGAACCAACAAACCCCAACTTCCACAGGCTTTGCTGAATAAGAGCAACAAGAAGCAAGCAATCCCAACCTCCCCAAAGCTTTCACTTTAGCAGACTACGTTACAGGTTTAAGCAACTGACGGAAGTACTCAGCCTGTAAAAAATAAAAAACAAAGAACCATATCATTGGGTTGTCATAAATTTAGAACAAATACAAGAAAAGAAAAATATTAAAAGGAAACTATATGCCTAGAAAATAATCCAACGATTTTCCTTTTCTTGAGGGTGAATGGAACCACCATACACTTGGTAGGATGAGCATTATACAGAAGGCATACAAAATTTATATCTCAATACACACGCAGTCATCAGTATGGATCTCAAGATGCCTATGGAAATTATATAGCAGTATACTACATTGAGGATATACAACATTCTGTACTCAACCTCAGTGATGAAGTAAATATTGATAGAAAGAGGAATAGTGTTAACATTTTCATTACGGTTTAAGCCAAGTCTATATATAAAGAATGTGAGTAAAAGATCATGCACCCGGCACAGAATACCAGTCAGAACATAAACAGAAAACTGAAACACAAAAAGCATCACCCCATACAACATTCAATTAAGTTTTAGTTGCTTGGTTTCTGTTTCCTTTTAACAGTACAAGTTTAGTTGGATACCCGTGCAGGAGAGTGAATACCAATTTAATCGAAAAGACGAGCAAAAGCTAAAAGAACAATTACCTGACAAACTAGCATCAATTGGTAATAAGCAACACTCCCCACATGCATTTTAATCTCACCAGCTTCTTTGACTGCTCTGTATCTCTTCAAGGTAATCGCAATGTACATTCTCAACCTCCAAATGGACTTTAGTTTCAAGAAATATGAAAAAAAAAAAAGAGGTCTTGCAATCTGTCAAACCAAACAAGCACAAATGAGTAAAACATTAAAGAACATCAATACAAGCACAGCTTATTTCTCAAATAAGTAATGCAATCCTCTAAAAAGTTAATGAGTTCATCACCTGATTAACACTAATGTAGTACAACACTACAACTTTAGTTTCCAATTCTCTATTGTCAAACCAACTAAAACTATCTTCCTCTACATACTTTTTGGCAGTAACCAGTTTTATTATCTCTTGGGTATTACTGTTCTGTCAGTAAATCCTCAACAAGAATAGTTAATCCGCAATACTTACATACTACAACAACAACAGAATACCCAGACCTTACCTCTACCTCAGAGGTGCAATATTTACATACTGACAAATAAAATATTAAAGGCTGAAGAGACAGATAGAGATTTTAGGAAATAAAAGAGGCCATCTCACCTAGTAAAAATGGGTTACAGAATCACGCGAAAGAATACCACAAAGCGCACACACTTCACACAATAACTCAGAGAAGAAAATGCCCACGGCATGTTGATTGGTCCAGTGCAGTATATTATAGTCTTCAATCCAAGCCACTATCAGAATAGCAAAACATAACTCCAAATATCAATAATAATTAATAAGCACACAAATAGCTCATCTTTAACAATAATCACACAAATAGCAAAACATAACTCCAAATATCAATAATAATCAGTAAGCAGACAATTTAATTTTTTTTGATGACAAGGGAAACCTGCAGCTGCTACCCTTTGGGTGTGCACAAGGTAAAACCCCCCTCCTATGCAATAGCTCGCAAACCACATAGGAGAAGTAGCCCGCACTAGGCAAGCCTGATGCGACGAGCTCGACCCAGAAGAATCAGTAAGCACACAAATAGCAAAACATAACTCCAAATATCAATAATAATTAATAAGCTCCCAAATAGCTCATCTTTAAAGTAATAATAAGCACACAAATAGCAAAACATAACATTTTAAAAGTTCATAGAAATAACACCAACTTACAATGCTTCCTTCAAAAGGAAACTAATATTCTTTACACTAAAACTAACATAAAACTCCTTCATACAAATAAGCTGTCGAAAACTAAAACAAAGGCTTGGACTCTAAAATTCCCAGCAAATCACAAATGGTTAAAAAATCACCAATTGATGCAAAAGAAGTTGAGTAGAAGAGATCACCCCTCTATGAAATTCACAAACATCCACACACATCATTGAATCAATACAAACCTAAAATCAATTCAATACAAGAAACCATATCGAATCTAAAAACCTCAAAAAGTTACTTTTTTCTCCTGTCTTCACTAACCATACAAAATTAAACCAAGAACACACACAAATACCCACATCATCACATCAAGTCAGATAAAATCCCAAACCCAGAAACAACCCAATCTACCTCAAATCAAAGATTAAAGCAACAAATCTTAAAAACAAAGAACTTTGAACATACCCAAATGAAAAAAAAGATCTTTGTTGTTTCTTCACTAGATTTTCTGAAACTTTTTCTAGAGAGGGAGGAAGTGAGTGTCAGATAGAGAGTGATGCAAATGTTGAAGAAGAAGCTCGTGGTTTGTTATTGGGATATGCGAGTGAAGAGAGGGGTAGGGGTCAGGGGTAGGGAGGGGACTACTAGTTAGAGCCTTAGGGGTAGAGACAGGAAAGAGTCAAAGGTGGAAAATCTGAACCGTTGGATTGAAGAAAGAGAAAAGTTTTCCGTATAATGCGGGTGAGTAATTGACCGTTCGATCAGATTACAAGAGCACGCGTGAAAGCTAAAGTGGGCCTCATCAGGTTTGACAAAAATGGCGCATCTTACCCATTTCCCTCCAATATTTTATTTTTCGTTATTCACTTTTATTTGTCATATTTAAACTCAACATATTAAAAGGAGTATTTTATAGAATTTGTTTAACTATTGGGAATAGTGAAACGAGAGTCAAGACTAGTGGAGCTTTTTATATAATTTCAATAATTTAATTACTTACTTATTGCTCTACTAAATTTTTTATTTGAAAAAGTTATCCAAAACCAAAGTTTGTACTATGAATGAATTGTTTTTCAAATTTCATTGACATTTTTCACCTAACGAATTGGTCTTTTTCATATATGGAACTTTCAACCAAAGAAGAACGTCTTTTTTCTTTTCTTTTCTTTTCATTTTTTTCAAGTTTTTACTCATTGTTGTTTGAGAATAAGAAAAGGGAAAGGGAAAGTAATATCATGTTATTCTCAAGAAAAAAATCTGAAGATAGAGAAGAAAAAAGTTATTTTTTTGTACATGTCATATATATTACAAATATAATATGACAAGGTAGTAAATGTGTGAAAGGTATATACGTATATATTATGTATAAATACAGCTCATCGTTAATTATTATTCAAAAAGAGAGTATTAAGTTTATTGGTTTTATGTATATACGTAGTTTATGCCAATCTTTTTATGGGACTGAGAATGTAATTGTCTCTTCTTTGTTTAGGTCAAAAGTGGCGAATCTTTGTGTTTTATTTATGGTTAATTTAGTGATCAAAAGTTTTGTAATTTTAGTCGTTCAAATTGTTTTTCTTTGTGGATGAATTGTTATCTTAAATTTTTTTAATAAATTATTTCTTTCAAAACATTAATAACTATCAAATCAATATATAATATTTGATTTAATTTTAATAATTTAAAAATCAAATAAATTAACTTAGCTTTGATTTTGATGAATAATTGACTCAGGCCTTTGTGTTAGTATGGATTTAGATTTTCGAAGTGAGCCAAAGTCCACTACAGTTCCCAATATATGATTGTTTTTTTAAAAGATATAACCGATGCAATGAAAAGAACAATAAAAATGTTTGAAATACTACAAGCACAACTCACTAAAAACTTATGTGATGCCAATGTTTCGTTGAATATTACTGATCAAACACTCCAGAAATCGTTAGATAGCTTCGACAAACATAGATAGTTTTAAAATAAAAATTAGTATTATCATTTTATTCTTTATTGAATATTATAATTAATTTCTAGATAACTTATTTAGTAATTAGTACCAGGATAAGTTATTTCTCCAAGAATGAAATAATAGTATCGAAATTAGTTATTCAGGGATAAAAATGATTAAAATATCCATGAGGTCCTTCAAAAAAAAAAATCTACTAGGAGGATATTTTCGTAAATAATAATTTCTTCTTAAAAAATTTGTGATGCATATTATTTTTAATACAATTCATTAAATAATTTATTAAAAATAATTAAATAATCTATTAAAAATAATACCAAAATAATTAATCTCAGCCTAATATGTCTTCAAACCAAACAATCCTTTATTTTCTTGCCTTAATGTGTGGTTATCGTTAATAGGATGCATATATTGTCTCGTTTATGTTCTTTCTTTTATACTCATGGATACACTATTTTATCCTAATAGAATATGAAAATGGCTAAAGACATTTCATCTATCTCATTTTAACTGTCGTTTTTTTTATTGTACTAAAAGTATAATTTGGAAATCTTTGACAACTCTACAGTTGAATTTCTAAGGTTACAATTTTTTTTAGCTAAAGCGACAATTAAAATGGGACGAGAGAATATAATAGTTTGCTTTGCTAACTCAATTAAAGATAATAATTATAATTAAGATAAGCAAGTTAATTATCATGCGGACAAACATTCTATTGCAAGACATTATAGAAGATGACGATAACATTGGTGTTGTAAGAAAGAAGATTTAGACTTTTTAATGATCTTTAACAAGTAATTAAAACTATAGAATGAGTTAATATCCCACGCTTGAATGAGATACAATGAAGAATGAACAACTTGTACTTCACATTTGACAACTAACAAACATTAATTCTGTGATCATTATTGTAACTAGTTTTATTATTTTACAAGTACTTAACACATAATTAATCATTTATTCATCCCACGCCAACCTATAGAATCAATATTATGATATATATGAGTTGTACTTTGCAACTGATCGACATGTAGAAGAAATTAAACTTTCTTAAGATCATATGCATTCTTTATTAAGTTAAGGTTAGTTTGTCCAATCATGTTTATGTCAACCTAGTCAAAACTAAGTAACATATGACAGCAAGATGGTTTAGTTTTAACTATCATATACTTGTAGTTTGTGATATGAAAAGTCAAAAGTTATTAATGTGTAATGTATTTTACTATCTATATGTGCTTGTATCTTTTAGAATTTATCTATAATATTGTTATTTTCGCTATATCTGGCATGAAAGTGAGGTTTGAAGGAGAAAAGAATTAGAGTGATCAATACTTAAACGACTCAAAAAAGAAGAAAGGCATATATAGTAATTGATCAAATATTTTGAGAAGTTATTTACTTCGAAGATGTTTTCTAGGTGAAACGACTGCTATATATATCTCACTTGAAAATTGTGTAGATGAGAGGATATATGATATATAAATGTATCATTGGTTAACAAAATCCTAATTAATCATAATTAGTGACTTGATTAGCATCAATAGTAGTAGCAATTTGAAAAATCCATAAGGAAGTTCAATCATGCATCCAATAAAACCTTGATGCTGAAAGATCAAAGGGACACAATTTTATCCTTTTTCAGATAATAGCAAGCATTTTTCAAAAGTTATTAACCAACAAGTGTTAAATTGTCAACATTTAATGGACCACCATATGGTTATATTCTTTGTTGGCTCAAACTTAAATATTTGAGTCCAAAAAATTAATCTCTTTTTTCCCCTTTCATTTTCAAAGGTTGTCTTTTGTTTTCAATAAGGCTTTCATAGCTTTGAATTTTGTGCATAAGCATGCAATTTTTGGACAGCAGCACGCCAATTTGCCAACCTTACTATTGTCATTTATCTTTGTTGTCATTAGCCATTCACACTTTCAAAAGTTTTTGCATTGTCTCTCTAGTTGACGTTATTTTATATTTATCATATTTCATCCAGTCTCATAGTATCAGAATTCTACATCTACTTATATAGTAACAATTAACTTAATTATATGTATGATTTTTCGACAAAGAGATTTATTCGAGCTCTCGAGATTTACCTCTATTTCACATCCTATGATCATTTTATTAACTCTTTTTTTTAATATAGTTATAGAGATAGAGATAGTTATATTTATCTAAGTTGATGTTTCTCACATCTCGAGTGTATGAATAAAATGAATTTGACGTGGTCTACTTTTGTAGGCATGAGGTAAAAAGAGTGAATAAATGTTGTGCAGTGAGCTATGAGCTAAGCTAGCATGCTTTACCATTTAATATATAATATATTATATTGACTTTTTGAAGGAAAAATAATGACACATTTTCATTAATTATCTTATAGCGGTTCACAAAAAAGAATGTTTAAAACTTTGGTAGGAAAATAGCTTCAATGAATTAATTTGAGTGTCAAGTATATATATATGGAACTGTTTACAGTACAAATTAAATATACATGTGTCATAGAAATGTTTTATCTTCGAAACTAGTTTTATGGAATATTTTTTGGTGTTTGATTGGTTATAAAAGTTAAGTACTATGTGCCAATATAGAATTTATTGAAACAAGTTTTAAAATCAAATTAAAATATTTATAAAAAGTGAATATAAGGAGAACATGGTAAGTTAACATCGAGTAAATTTAATCCTGCGAATAGTTATTCAAATTATAAAAATTACCTACCAAATTACTTTAGCAGCAAAATCATTCTAACTATTACTATCTCCGTCCACTCTTAATTGTTATATTTTCCTTTTTTAAAGTCAAATTAAACTATAAAAACTTTGACTAATATTTTACAATGTGTTTTTTCATCATATTGATATGCAAAATTAACAATTTATAATACATTTCGTATAGTTTTTGAATATCTAAAGTTTTTATTTAAGTTATCAAATTAATGTAATCTAATTTAATTTTAAAAATTAATCAAAATTGGTTATCAAAAAACGTAACAAGACAAATAAAATCGGATGAACAGAGTATTACACTTGCTCAAAAACACTACAAAATCACTGTTGGATGGGTCAGACAATGGTCAGCGTTAGCTGTTAGATTTCCATCCATTAATACATGTCAATTTTAAAAACTATAAGGACTTATTTTGAGTTGGTGTATATTTGAAAGACTATTTTGAGTTGATGCTCAAACTTAGGGACTGTTTTGAGAAAAGATTTTTCTCAACTTTCTCTACACCGGCGAATGCACAACTAGACCACCAGATTCCGGGCCGTGTTCGCTGTGCATCAATCGGAGAATGCACAATTAAATCGCGGGGGCCGTGTTCGCCGTCGAGTAGAGGTCGGAGTTATTGTGTGCTCTTTCGCCTGATTCTGTAATCCATTTTAATTGGTGAGATAGCCTCTTTAGGGTTGAGATGCAGATTGACTAATAATGGGTCTGGAAAATCTGAAGCAACTGACGCCTTTTATCAAAGAAGCATTTCAGCAAACACTACTCGTAGCCAAATTCCTCTGTGGTATTCATGTCACCAACAGCTACATCTGCACCTTCGCTCTCGTACGATAGCATAACCATTACTATTTTTCTTAGTTTACTACTTCATGATTTGGGACAATTGAACTGCAATTTTAAATCTGTATTTTATTTTATATATTTTGGGCAGACTCAAGGTCCAAGCATGCTTCCAACGTTTAATCTGACTGGAGATCTTGTTTTGGCTGAAAGGCTATCAACTCGGTTTGAGAAAATGCAACGTGGAGATGTGGTGCTAGTGCGTAGCCCTGAGAACCCGAGAAAAATTGTGATCAAAAGACTCATGGGTATGGGTGGTGATACTGTTAGATATGTTGTGGATCATGCTAATAATGGAATAGAACATACTATTGTGGTAATTAAGAATTGATCAAATACCTTCATTTACAACTGATTTTCCCCTCTTTTGCAGTTGGTAACAGTTTTTAGTTTACTTTCAGGAGCTAATGTAGTTGGGCTTTTGCTGCCCCCTTTCTTTTCTTCTCTCCAATTTTGTTTCTTAGGTGAATATGCTTTGAATGTGAACAGGTACCAGATGGACATGTTTGGATTGAAGGGGATAATAAATTTAATACCAACGATTCGAGGAACTTTGGACCTGTACCTTATGGACTTGTACAGGGCAGAGTCTTTTGGATTGTCAGTGATTCTTCTCTATTTTGATTTTTAGCTAATTTGCAAAATTGCTATGACTTGATTATATTTTGGAATTACTTTTTGCTTAATTTCTTGGAGGTGTTTTCGAAGGTATGTTTCATGCCATCATATTGATGTCCTTATGCATGCCATTGGATGATTATGTGTAAGACAATTTTTGATTTTTTAAAATAAAATTTGGTTGAGTTTGAATTGGTAAGTCTCCTGTAGGACTTGCCAGAAGAAACCTACCATAGGAATCATGTCTAGCTTGTTCATAAGCAGCATTTTCAGAGGATTATGTTGTGCTAAATCGTGTGTGTGCTGATTTTATTGGTACCGTTTGCTACAATTTGGTTAGTTAGGGGCTTAGGGCTAATATCTACATATATGCATAAGCACACCAAATCTTGTGAACGTGTTTAATACTTCAGGTTCTTGTAGACTAGTTGATACTTGTGAAATTCATCCAATATGTTTTATGTTTCTGACATGAATTCATAAACCAACAAATATGTCGCTAGCTATTTCTGGAGAGTCATATTGAATTAGTAAACTAGGAAAATGTGTAACTTTTTTGATCATTTTTTCCATATTTGAAGTACTTGTTTGTGCAGCATTCTATCTTTAATTTGGCTGTGTTGTAGAAATCTAAAAGTTCTGACGTTGTGATTAGGTATGGCCTCCTGAAGATTTTGGATCAGTAGGAAGAGAAGTACAGTAATTCAACATTTCAAGGTACGGTTGTTTAGAATTTCATGTTTAAAATGTTTTTGCTAATTAGGAGCTTGGATCATTTGTTATGGGCTTGTGCCATGCTTTGCCATATTTTCCTCATTTCACTTTGATATTTGTTTTCATTTTGTCACTGATTGGATTTTGGTGTTCTATATTTTTTTCTCTTTATTTTTCCAAATTAGTCTTAGTGAACTATTTATGCTATTCTCAATGTTCTCAAGAACTTATGATTGTGTGAACTTTCTATGTGTTAAACTTCATGTACTCACTTAATGAGAGGTAGCAAAATGTTTAGGAATCAAATATTGTGTTTAGGTTTCTTCCTAGTGTTTTTCTTTTAAAATGTTTTCAACTTTCTCCCCCGGCTAATTCAAATTTCCTCCTAGTGGTTTCCTTGTAGGAAATTTGCACATTTTCAAACTAAGATTCTTGTTTGCTTCATGTTTTATCTAACGTATTATGTCCAAATGCTAGTTGTATAAAGGATGAAGCTTCTTTTTGGTTGTGACTGGAAAGATGTGTGCTTGTAATGTATGACAAGATTATGGCTCGTAATAATGTATCCTCTGCATAATATTCTGATTTTTGTCATGTTGTGTTCTATAAGAATAATATGATGCTGGCATGTGATGAATTTAAATGTAGAAACCTGATAGGTGAGAATTTATATAGCCGACCCCAACTTGTATAGGAAGGTATATATGTGTTGTTGCTTCCCATAACAATGGCATATGATTTTGTTGGACCTTAAGATAAACCTGTTTTCCTTGTTGGTAGCTGAAACCGGTTAATGGACTTTACCTTGGCAGATTTGGAGTATGCTTGTAGAGTATTCTCTTACAAGCATGGTTTTTAAACAATTTACTGAAGATGGCAATTGGTGGGTTGCTTTACTACTAGGTTCGAGTTGGAAGACAGGACGCCGGAGCTGTTAAATATATTCGGTTAATGTATTTCTCAAGCTCCAAAGGCTGCACGGTTTGCATAATTTATTCTTGAATTGCCACTGCTAATGCATTAGCAAGATTCTAGCTCGATAGGAATCACATACAAAAGAATACTGCCCAAATGGTCTTTCCATATTTTACTTGTGCCCAAAAATTGTTTCAACTTCTTTAACATGTGAAAGCTTCTTTTCTGTTTTACTTTGGTTCTTCTATCAAAAGAGTCGTTCGGGACTTATGGACCTAAGGGTTGTGGTCTGGCGGTCACGTCTCATCTAACTCGAGCCTTTGTAGTCAGAGTTACTCGATACATGTTGCCGCTGGGAAATTACATGTACCTGGTCTCTAAGTTGCAGGCAAGCTTTGCCAAAACACCTCACAATGTTAAAATTTTCATTTTTTGGCAGTTACATGTTCCATTTAATAATACAGTAGTAATTTTTTTTCATGTTAAATTACTGCAGCGTATATCCAAAAGTTGGGAATTGACTGTATACTTCATATTGTACTATTCAGCTCGTTTCATTTCGACGCTTGCAAATAAAAGACAAATTATGGGTCCTCCTAATGCTAATTGCAAATACATTGTATATTTTATACTACTAATTGTTAAGCCATCCAAAATGCAGAATTTACTCTACCAATTAGTCAATGCATGCACTTGAAAAGTAAAATAACGGTAAGATTACAACATCATTAAAGGACATCTCTATGTTAAGAATGGCACTATAATCGTAAATTATAATCACACACAACACCAAATCATAGGTAAGATCACGTGAGATGAAAACAAAAAGAAAAGAATAAAATTCTATAAAACCGAGAGAATTTTAAATAAGGGACGAAATTATTTTTTACAAAAGAGTTGCTAAAATACGATGAAATGGACTGAAGTTGAAGAATCGACAAAATGCCACTTGAACCCAGAGCTGGTTAGTTCTCCCGAAAAAAATTAGTTCTTAGTAGGGTAAAATAGATATTGTCCTTTTAAATGCTGACCAATGGCTAATTATTCTCTAGCGCAAATTGCATTATATCCCATTTTACGGCAACCATATATGTAAGATAATCAGATGAAAAGTTTTGAAGGGCAAGAAAAATCTAAAACCTCATCATATCAACAAAAAGAATCTGTAAAATTTAGAAAGTTCATCACAATGTTTGCTATGTACAGGAATCCAAGTTATGCAGGCATGTTTACCCTGAGCAACCACCTTGCATAGTTGCATGGGGTATTTTTTCCGTTGAGTTGAGCTTTCTTCGATCACTCAACCACAATACCGACCACTCAACTGAGAAGTTCTCATTTTTAGTATTGTCAGTCCCTCATTTCTAGCTGAAAATAGCCAATCAATGTACAATTCCATCACGATGATCATATGGGGCTTGCCCTTGAGACCTGCATCCACAATGCTTAGAACACATTGGTACAAGTTTATGAATCCATCTAGTGTAAGACAATGAAAATCAAGAAATGAGTGGAAAGATCTCCAGTGCAGAAAGTTTGAGTTCTTCATTGATTTTGCACTCTACTTTCACATTCTCCTTTGGGTTTTGATGTTCGGTTAAAGTGAGGTTAAAAATAATGTTTGTATAAGTTGTCTTTCAACTGCTAAGCTGCAATTCTGGCGAGTTTGTGGATCTTACGAAAAATTTAATGGACAGCTAAAATGATTCGTACCCATAGCTTCACCTACCATGATTTCCCGTCCCTAGTGTAATGTGCGAGGAGAGAAATAATTTATTTGCTTTGTCTTTTAACTTTTTTCCTTTTCATTTGATCAGTGATAGGTTTATAGCCCTTATAAAAGAACTTGCATTTTCTACATATTCCCTAGTCAAGATCATGATGCACATGACTAGAGATCAATCAACAAACAAGGTGTGCATTAGAGTCAAAAGAAGGCAAGTAACCTGATTTTGCACACTTGCAGCAGCTGTCCATCGCTGAGGCTGAACTGTCGCTGAACTGTCACTTATAAAAGCTATTGTCCTCGACTCCTGTTGACTGAAAGTGACAAGTGGAGGTGGTAGTTCTCTCATCACCCATAGCACAAATGCTGAAGGTATAGAAGAACCTGGAAAATATTTTGATCAGGTACAGAGTATTAGAAAGTTTTCCCCCTTTGTGAATAGAACTCTAATTTGTAGGAAAGAACTGCATTGTAAGATCAGATCCCCCCAACAAAACACGTACAAGCTACTTGTATTCTTGGTTGAAGAAGTAATTGGAGTCTCCATACCATAGCCCAATACAATGAAGATAGATGCAATTTCTTAAACTAAAGAACAACAACAACATAACCAATGTAATCTTACAAGTGGAGTCTGGGGGGAAGAGCAGGAACTATGAGGGAGGCAAGCAATATCTTGACGCACCATTACTAAATCCCCTCTCAGTCATGTCCCGATTTTTAAAAGAAATATCTGATATGTCCCAATCCAGCTCTTATGTTAAGTCCTTACAACATAGCTCCCAACTTCTGTTGAGTGCGTCCAGAGAGACATCTCACAACAACTCAAAATACTTACGATATTAATGCACTTATATATCTCAAAAAAAAATAAAAAATATTAATGCACTTATATAACATCATCAGAGCAACCTCTGATTGTTAAATTGGTTCCTTCCACCATGTTTAGTTCAGCCTTCTTCATCTAATTAACTACAGTTAGTAGCTCTTAGGTATAAGGGGTGGGCTTGAGGAGCATCTCGTAGCTTCAACAATTGGTAAAAACAATTAGCAGGCAAAAAGCAGAAGTTCCCACTCAAGTCTAGAATTTCAAATCAAGCTTTCAGTAAGGAACAAGTTTTAAAGGGTACCTATAAAATAATACAAAACCATGAGAAGAGATGTACAAACACCATTTATCTTCTGTCCATGCCAGTTAAAAAGAAGCTGCATTAAAAGCATTATCTTTTAGAAACTTATGCAGTCAAAACAAAAGACGATCTCATGAGACCAGCAGAAGACATACGGGTATATCTGTGAATACGGCGACAGCGGCACTTGAAGTGAAACATAGAACAGAAACAACTGCCAAGCCTGCAACCTTCATTTGACAAACATATAATAAAAAACCGAACTTCACAATAAAATAATCTATCACAATCTGTGTCATGAGAGCTAAATTTTAACAAGGAAGAAAAGAAGAGAAAGAAAATTTGCAGCTTATTTAAGCTCAGTTCTTAAAACTAGAACTGTAAAAGATCTCAGTATGACATGACGTGACACAGAAGTTTTCTGCAGTCTGCAAATAACGATTCCAACTGCCATACAGAAAATGGTAGAGATGCACCGAGGAAAGATGAGTTAGTACCTTCCACATTTCTGATGAAGCCCTTTCAGATCTCACTTTGCTCATTTTCAAGAACAATACCAGTCCTGCATAGCGGAGATATTATAGTCAGAAAGGACAGATTTTGAAATAGAAAACCTTCACATAAAATAATTAGAACACAAAAGACCTAGTTTAAACAACAAGTTCTTTACGACAACTGTTTCTTAAATTTCGCACAGCTCGATGAGAAATGGATAATTGGTTGAACAATCAACTCATTCGATCGCGATATTACTGATGAAATATTTGTCTTTCTGGGGAGACAGCAGATTCACCCCCTAAAACTAATCGCGATATTACTGATGAAATATTTGTCTTTCTGGGGAGACAGTAGATTCACCCCCCTAAAACTATCAACCATGCATATCTTATTGTTTAAACTATTTCTGAAATCACTTCTCCACCCCCCTGACCCACCTCTGGGGACACACACACAGAGGAGGGAGAGAGAACTCTTGAACATTTGTAAATCACTCCTTATTGTTAAATAAAATAACTCAAATCTTTTATATCAGCTGATTCTGTGAAGAAATGGTGGATCAAGACGTTAGTTATTACACAAGTACTGAAGTGCCCATGTAAAGATTTATGGTGCATAGTAGCAATAGATAAGATTTTATTACTGAAAATGGCAGGACAACAATTTTCTGGGACCACATTAATGTGGAAGCAGGATAAATAATACCAGTGTATGAGATACTAACCATAGCATGCCAATGCCACTCCCAGCAAAAGAACTGCTAAGGCAAAGAGATCTACATACACCTGGATGAAACTGCACTTCATCAATTATCAAGAGGAAGGTGGGGAGAAGGTGGCAAAGAAAAAAATCACCATGAAACAGTCTAAATTTATATTCCCCCAACAATAATTTAAACACCAAAGACCAGAATTGTAAGCAAATTAAAAATACCATGCTAATTCATTTAAGCATGAAAAGCATTTTACAAGAACTACCCTTACTCACAGGGGAACACATCCTCTCTTTCAACGAGATGCTCCTCTCAGTAAATACTAAGAAACAGTTTGGCTCCAAGTCGAAGGTATATACTTATTTGTGTAATAAAATCTAACTGCAGCTAAAAATGAATATGTGCGGCTCAAAGTAATCTATAAAGAGAACCAACAACTGCTAAATCAAATGGATTAAAGAAAGAATATGTGAAAACAACAATCAAGTAACACTTATCAATAGTGTTCTAGACAGTTTACCCACTTATTACATGGCCTTGCTCCCAATGCCACCTCTGGAAAGGCAACAGGGAGAAACACAAATTTCATCTCATCGAATGGGAGAAGGTCACACAACCAAAATACCAAGGAGGTCTTGGCATTAAGAACCTTGCAGCCCACAACAAAAGTATGATGATGAAGTGGCTTTGGAGATACAACTTGGAAGACACAGGGCTCTGGAAAGAGGTCATCATAGCTAAGCATGGAAGGCTGAATCAATGGTGCTCAAATGTTACTACACTTCCTTACGGAGTGGGACTGTGGAGGAGTATTAGTATGTTGTGGGATACATTTGATCAGAACGCTTACTTTGAATTGGGCAATGGTTTACTCCTAAAAAATTTTGGACAGACAAATGGATCATTCACTTCCCAATCGTGCATATCTTCTAAATCTCAGATCCCTTCTCTATTGATTCAAAAAAAATACCACTCTTCAGGAGGATTTCACAGATCTGTTTAGAATTGCTCAAGATCCCAATTCTGTTATTGCTGCTAATAGAGAAGGGATCAATTGGGATCTGAGATTTAGAAGGAATATGCACGATTGGGAAGTGAATGATCTGGTAGACCTTTTTGCTAGACTACAACATTGTCACATTAATCTCCAGGCAGCTGATAAGCTCAAATGGGGACACTAGAAAGGAGTTTATACAGTCAAGGAAGGGTATCAACAGTTGTGCTCTAGAAACCCCGTGATAGCTAACTGGCCCTGGAAACTCACTTGGAGGCCCAAGCTACCACCTAAGGTAGTTTTTTTTACCTGGATAGCTCTATATGAGGCATGTCTCACCCAAGACAACATAAAGAAAAGAAAAATCCAGTTCCCAAACAGATGCTATATGTGCAAAAAAGAGGCTGAAACCCCCAGACACCTTCTTCTTCATTGTGAGGTGGCCTCAGAATTATGGAGCATGTTTTTTTGTCTCTCTGGCATCAATTGGACCACACCCCTCACTGCTAAGGATGCATATGAGAGTTGGAGTCTATGGAAAGTTGACAAAGCCATCAAGAAGATCTGGATTATGATACCTGCTTGTATTTTTTTGGTGTATTTGGTTAGGGAGGAACAAGAGATGTTTTGATGGAGAGTCAACTGCTTTAGGCATTTTGAAGACTAGGTGCATTGAAAATTTGTTTAGTTGGTCCAACTTGTATCCTGTTGTTAATGTAGAACAACTTCAGGATTTTACTAACTCATTAGCTCTGGTTAGATAGTTTGTATAGTTAGCCAGAGATTTTTTTGTAAGCTCAAATGCCATATCTTGTAAATTTTGCATCTTCTTGATGCTGTTATTAATACCACTTAGCTTATAAAAAAAAAAAATACAATCAAATAGATTGTGTTATAAAATCTGGTTGCAGCTAAAAATAAATATGTGAGGCTGGAAGTAATCTATACAGAGAACCAACAACTACTATATCAAATAGGTTACAGAATATGCGAGAACAACAAATAAATAGATACTGGTAATCAAAGAGCCTTAGTCCATACCCGAGCCACAACAGATGAATCAATAGGGTTCCTTCCCCTCCCAATCCATATTAGTACAGCAGCTACCAACATTAACAGAAAAACTAACAGGGTAACCTGGTCAAAAAGCAAATACATGAATTAAGAACCGAAATGGAAAAAGAGAAATACAGTGAGTTACAATGTGTCATTTTTTATGTAGAACATACACACAATGTCTTAAAAGTGGGGGCACAGCAGGGGGATTTGTAGAGTAGGGATTTTGCCACAAAGCAGACATATGCCGCACAAAATTTTTGAAAGAATTTTAGAAAGCAATAATTTTTAAAAAAAACACTCAAATTTGATATAATTCATAAGCACAAGATAAACAGAAATAATTAAGTACCAAGTGATAATAAGATGTGTTTATTTTAATATAGTTCATCACGACATACTAAATTATAGAACAAAAACACATTGTTCTTATAAGTTAGCAGTAACATAAATTTATACTCAAATACTAAGAAGAAGATATTTGGAGTCACAAAAGGCAGATAACACAAAGCATAAAGGTGGGCCTAGCCCCACTTATTTGGTTGTTATCGCAAAACTTTTCACCACATGGTTGGCCAGTTGCATTTAAGGCCTGTGAACTGAGCTGCTAAGTGAATCACAATTTTGCCTTTTAAACATTATATGCGCATACTTCATAAACTTTACCAGAACCACTACTTTTTGGCGGCTTCCCACTTTGACAGCACGAAAAGAACAGCATCTTCGGCGACTATCAGCATTTGAATTTGGCTTGTTCTTCTCCAACAAAGCTTCTCGAGGGCTATATACATCATCTTCATCTTCTTCATCATTTGACTGATGACAAAGATCAACCCTGAATTCATTTACAGAAAAGGATTTTAGACTTCATCAATATTTAATTTCTGCATGAAGATAGAGTTCATGGCTTGGACCCCTGTACCACGATTCCTTTCTATTTTAATTATTTCCTCATTCTATAGAATAAAGGTATGTTGCACATTTCCTTTTATTTCAGAGGTTCTTGTATAGTAGTTTTTTTGTAGATTCAAGTGCAAAAGGATATAAGATGCACGACAACTTTGGCCACCAAGGTTTTGGTCTAAAGGTGAGAACATAGTGTGTGATGTCGTGATATGTGGATTAGGCGCATGTCACGGGTATATATTCCACTGCAAATAAAGAACTGGTATTTAAGTGGAGAAGTTCCTTATTTTCTCCTTCTACTTATTAGTACTATAATTCTTGTTGTATCATTACCTTTTTCTTTAAAATTTAGAACTACTGTTGTTTCTTTTACTTCGCTTATCTTTTCTATTTTGTTGTCGATTTCTTTTCTTTCATAGTTTCATCATAGTTCTTTTTACTCTTGTATTTTTCAAACCTGTTTTGTAAAACACTCTTTTTCCCATTTTTGAGCCGAGAGTCTATCGAAAACAACTTCTCTACCCCACAAAGGTAGGGTAAGGTTTGTGTATACCCCACCCTCCCCAAACCCCACTTGTGGGATCACACAAGGTTTGTTGTTGTTGTTGTTAAGTGGAGAAAGTATAAAGGAGTGTGCCCATTATCCACCAAGCACTGAATGGTGCACCACTGATCGGCTATTAAAAAAAGAGATACATGACAAGTGACAACTTTGTTGGTGTAGAGCAGAAGAATCTATAATCTATGAATAGCACTAGGCTCACGTAACCTATGTTGCTCAGACTCTTCAAAATGACAACTGGTGCATGTAGGATTATCCAAAAGTAGTGGATTTTTGGAGAATCTGACACGGGTGTGGCATTGAAAGTGAAGAGTCCGCGCAACTTAGCTAATAACTGCTATTCACCAAAAGAGGATCATTATTTGGTCAACCACATTCTAAAGTTCAGTAGCAGTGTCTTGCAAACTGCTGATTTTGGCAGCTTACTGATTTAAGTAACATGTACTGCTTCTCTGCCCAAGATTATTTTCTGGAATGAAGATGGACTCTGGAGAAAAAATGGGAAGTTCACGATACTGAATTTCCCTCATAAAGTAGTTTCTTTTCCTCAAATTTAGAATTATAAAAGGAAGGCAAATAGTTAAATACACAACAATAATTTTCACACGTCCAAGTATACAGAAAACAGAAGGCGAACTTACCAGAAAGAAAGGAGAAGAAGAAATGCAGCAAGGAAAAGAATTTTGGGGAAAGCTGCAAAATAGTTTTTCATTAGTCCTAGTTAAAATAGCCTCAGTTGAAAAAGAACACGGTGGGTTTGCACATACCCATAACGACAAAGCCACAGGAGTGCGACCAGAAAATCCAACCCTTACATGCGGCAACAATTGTCAACAAAAAATAAAGGAAATAACCTGCAGGAGAATAAAGTTAATGACTGATTCATACTAGCAACTAAATTCTAACAGATTACTTGCTGGAAAGTAACTTACTTTATCATTATGAAATGCACAGAAAGCAAAAAATAAAAGATAAAGGTAAGTATTAAAGATAACTGTGTACACGTGCTGCACAGGTGGTTTTTCAAAGTTTCATGTCCAAATTAGCTTATACTCTTCGTGCCCTTAATTTCTACCAAACGAGAAGCTAGATCTTCTACAACGACATACCTAGTGTGCGATTCCACAAGTGGGGTCTGGGAAGGTTGGGGTGTACACAAACCTTACCCCAACCTCGTAGAGAGGTTTCCGAAAAACCCTCGGATCCAGAAAAACATTTTCAAAAACAGGTTTTGACAAATACAAGAGTAAAAGCTATTGTGAAAATACTGTAGAAAAGAGAAGTACTAAAAACAAAAATAGTGAAGATAACCCAAGTAAAAGAAACAATACCAGTGATACAATTGAAGAATTGTTATGGTCCCCTGATATGGATCAGGTTATGGGACGTTGTCGTGTGAAATCAAATGTTTTCTTCCTACGACCTATGGTGCTGGTTCGTTAAGAGAGAACCTGCAATCTCTTGAGTTTAAAGTACTCAAAGACTTGAATAATTTTCTGCTTTCCTTTCCATTGAATTAAAATAACTTAAATACAACATTGGTGGATTAACCACCCACCTAACAACAAGGAAATAACTTCCTACTACAACTGAAATGAGAAAGTGGAGGAATAACCTCCTTATTGCTAATAACTACTAAAGAGAAAAACAATTGCTACAGGAAAACACCTTTTACAGAAACCTACAGAGAAAACTAAAAAACATAAATCAACTTTCTGATTAAACTTTTTTTTGATAAAGATAATGTTGTATTCATCAGCATTAAGGATATGCTGGAGACCTCCAAAACTTGGTTTCCAACAAGAGAAAAAACAAAAAGGCTAATAGATTACAAAGTGCCTATAAAATCCAAAATTTGTGCAACTTCTTCTATCCCTTCCTCTATACACCAAAAATAAAAAGTAGTCAAGCAGTTCCATTTGACTTTCTCTATTGAATTAGCTTTGTTATCATAGCATCTGCTATTTCTTTCTTTCCAAATACACCACCAAATGCATGATAGTATTATACTCCACCACTTTTTATTAGGTTTTCTCCCCCCTCTGCTGATCCAACAACTAAGTAGATTTGTTGTATGCTCAGGCATAATCCATTCTGTATGTGTTAGTCCCAAAAAAAGGTTCCACAATTGTGTTGTCACTTTGCAATGGAGGAACAAATGGTTGTTGGTTTCCTCAGTCTCATTACAGAGAGAGCACCAAGAAGCAATATAGAAACCCCTCCTTTTCAATTTCTCATGAGTGGAGCATGCTCTTCTGGCAACCAACCAGGAGAAACACTTTACCTTGGTTGGCACCTTGTTCCTCCAAATCTGCTTCCAGGGGCCAAGCTTACCACCTGGATGCTCCTTCACCTCCTTAATATACAGCTTGCTAACAGAAAGGCTTCCATCTCTAGAGTGTTTCCATATGATAGAATCTTTTTCTGCTGATAACCCATTGAAACCATTGAGAACAAGTAATAGCTCAGCCACTCTCCCAATCTCCCAGTCATTTAAATGTCTTCTAAACACGATATTCCATCCATGAATAGACCATACCTCAGCCACTGTTTCTTCCGGATTGGTACACAAGGAAAATAAGTCAGGAAATAAGACCATCAGTGCCTCATTTCCATTCCAGTTCTCTTTCCAGAATAGGATTTTCGTCCCATTTCCCACCTTGTAGACTATGTTTCTACTTAGATCAGGCCACAAATTTCTTATTGTTCTCCAAGCTGACACCCCATAAGTGCTATTCACAGAGTTGGAGACCCAATTTCCATTCAACCCGTACTTGTTGACTATCACCTCCCTCCACAGTCCACAGTGCTTCTTCCTCAGTGTTGAACCTCCATAGCCATTTTGACAAGAGACATCTATTCTGCAACCCCAAGTTTCTGATTCCAAGTCCACCAGATTTTTATGTAACTGTGCAGTTTGCCATTTGACTAAATGCAAACCCTTCCCTTCTTTATTCCCTTTCCACAAGAAATCTCTTCTCAGTTTGTCAAGTTTTTCTTCCACTTTGGCAGGCATAGGGAATAAAGACATAACATAAGTTGGAAGAGAGTCCAACACAGAGTTTATTAAAGTGACTCTCCCTCCCAAAGAGATATACTGAGCTTTCCAATTGGCCAATTTCTTCTCTGTCTTTTCAATTATGCCGTCCCAAATTTCTAGCTCCTTATGATTATGTCCCAATGGCATGCCCAAGTAAGTAGTGGAAAGATGTTCTACTTTACACCCCAATATCCTTGCTAGGCTCTGAAGTTGAGGGACTTCTTTAATTGGAAAGATGCTGCTTTTCCTCCAATTTACTGATAAACCCGAGACTGCTTCAAAAACCACCAAAGTCATTCTTATAAAGGCAACATGTCCAGCCTTGGCTTCACAGAAATTAATAGTGTCATCTGCATAAAGCAGATGACAAATCTGCATTTCCCTTCCTGAAGAGTTGCAGACCTTGAAGCCTTTTAACCAATTGTTTTGGGTAGCTACTCTCATCATACTATTATAGCCCTCCATGGCTAGGATGAAAATGAAAGGAGAGAGTGGGTCTCCCTGCCTTAGACCCCTTTCTGATGGGAAAAAATCAACAGGTTCTCCATTCACTAAAATGGAGAACCTAACAGTTTTTATGCAATAATCGATCCACTTCAGCCATTTATCCCCAAAAGCCATTTGTTTTAGAATCATGATTAGGAAGCCCCAATTGACATGATCATAAGCCTTCTCTATGTCCAGCTTGCACATAATTCCTGGATCATCTCCTTTGACTCTGGTGTCCACACACTCACTTGCTATAAGTGCTGCATCAATGATCTGCCTACCTTTTATGAAGGCCATCTGGTGTTTATTCACAAGCTTACTGATCACTTTCTTTAACCTTTCTGCTAGTATCTTGGCAATGATCTTGTATATTCCACCTATCAAGCTTATAGGTCTGAAATCTCACAGTTCCACAGCTCCCACCTTCTTGGGGATCAATGCCACATAGGTTGCATTTAGGCTCTTCTCAAACAGTTGGTGATCATGAAATTGCCTCAAGGTGCTTAGTATGTCTTCCTTAAGCATTTCCCAGAAGCTTTGATAAAAACTCATCGGGAAACCATTCGGGCCTAGGGCCTTGTCACGGAACACAACTTGAGTGTCTCAAGGACTTCATCTTCCTCAAATTGTCTTTGTAGCCACTCTTTTTCCTCCACACTGATGCTTTCACTCCCTTGGAGATTAAAATGTGGCCTCCATTGTTCTGATTCCTTGTAGAGTTTCTGGTAAAAGCTTACAATTTCGTTCTTGATCACCTCTGGTTCGGAATAGTTTTAATCATACTCTTCACTTTAACACGTCATCTCAAACTCAATGAGGTAAAATAACTGAGCTTGTTTACTTTGAAAACAAGATACTAGAAAATCATCCCATAAAATCATAACCCAGCCAGCCTGTTTAGATTATTTTTTTTGAAATAGGTAACTATCCAGCCTGTTTAGATTTGGACGGGTTAATAACCCGCTTATTTTATTAAGTGGGATCACTTTGACCCGCTTAGTTCAACCCATTTTAAAACTGGGCTGATACGCAGCCTGCATGACTCATGAGAAACTTTGTCTAAATATACTTAAAAAGACATTTTTTATTTGATATGTTTTATATAGTCACAATATAAGGGAAAAAATTTATTAGGTACTCAAGCAAATTATAAGAAAACAAACTTTGAATTTAAAACTTAGTAGGAATTGGGTGGGTTGGGTTATGACCTGGTTTATAGCTCATCTCAGCCCACCCCACTTTAGCCCAACTAACATTTAATCAGGTCAATGACCCGCCGCTATTTATTTACTCAACCCATTTTGATATTCTCAAATTCAGCCCAACTCGCCCATTTGACAATCCTAGGATCAGTAAATATTTGCCGGTGTCACCGGAATAATGAACAATCACATAAAAGATAAGCAGCGCTGAAACTCCGAGCCAATAATTACATAAAGAGAACTAAGAAATTGTAGTACCCATAGAAAGATCTATATACATCACTGGAAAGAGGTGTAGTACGGAATATCTTCAACACGTTGTAAGCAAATTGGCAATATGTTAATATTATTACTTTGTTACAAAGAACGTAACATACTATTAGGAATAGAAGTTAGAAATGCAGTGCAGCAGAAGAAGTTGCTAAACCTGAATTAGAAACTTAAAGCAGCAAATTTGCATCTGAATTAGAAAGGTAGCATGATCTTTGAACTTGATTTACATCATCTTACCTCTAAATATTTCATCTAGTTGTGTATCTACCAACTCATTTATCTGAGTTTGTTGTTTTTGTTCATAATTATGTTTTCTGGCGCTGGATACATATTTCTTTCTTCTATTTTATAGATTGCACTAGATTAAAATACTTCTTATTTCGTATTAGCACATTTTTCAGAAGAACCCACATTTTAATTACATTTAATTAAAGCATAACACGTCGCTTTTCAACACTTCCACCATTGAGTCTAATGTTAGTGAGAAGCTACACAAGGAACAAATATCAAGAATATTTGCTAGTTCTCTATGTATAAGAAACTCAATTACCCCATACAGACGAAAAGTTTGCAGGAAGCTTGTATTCCCATAAAATGATAAAAGAAAAGTGGCATATTACCTAGTCGTGCGCAACTTCATATTTTGCAAAATATAATCTAAGAACTTTTAAGTCACATCATTGCATTGACTCTTAAAATTGCTTATCATTTTGTGCTTCAGCATTATTTGATCTCTCCCATGTGCATTCAAAACAAAATATGCATCAACAATTGGCTTAAGAAACCCAATATTATGAGTAAAAAGTGCAACTATTTTCTTTTGATAAGAGCTCCTGGGGAGATCTTAGGGAAAAATAATCCGTAGATAGAACGACGATAATACAGAGAAAATAAGATGCTTACCCAAATTTGAAGATCCAATCATTAAGTGAAATACCTGCAATTTCATAGTGACGTCCAGTAAGCATGATTTGTAACTAGCACATAAGTGAAATAAGAAGGAAGCCTCATTGAATGTACTAAAGAATTTTATTAAGGCTAACCAGGACAGAAGGAATAAGAATCATTGAATCTACTTGATGACTGTTACTTCATATCAGTAAACTAAACTAATTAAGGCAATATATTTCCAAATTCTAATATATGTGTATATCCTCCAAGAGATGTAGTGCTACCTCTGAGTTGATGAAGTCTTTTACTTGTTATTACACGGAGCTAGTCTACGTAGATATTATCAAGTTTAGCCCAGTTCCCTTTTTCGATAGGTATATCAAGCATTCCCCACTTCATAGTCAGGTATTAGAAGAACAAGAGGTAAACTGATTCTGGTTTTTTGGTAGTGCCTTCAAATGAGGGGAAGAAGCATCTTGTATGCACCATACTTGGACCATTTCATGCAGAACGAGACTCCTCAATGTTCACTAATACCAGCTATTCAAAGATGCATTTGTGTTCTTTTGAAGAAGTAACATCACCAGAATATCCAACCCAATCTGCACTGCACATTGTACAACTTGGCTGTAAGTTAACATGGTAGAAAGTAGTAGTGGCCCAGCATTTACCGGTTAACTCCACAAGACGATCACTACTATGACCCTGACTGTTACAGAGCTCAATATCACCATTATCACACTCCTAAAACCTCCATCGTCCTAGGGATCATCAATAGATTGATCTTGCACCAAGAACTGAGCATAGACACCCCTCATCTCTAACACCAAAGAATTTAGATGTGAGCATAAATGAACCACTAATACCATAATGGCAAAGTGATTAGGCTGGGTTTAATATCCTGAAGTTCGGATTTGTACTCATCAGAGGACTGAGAGGGAAAAAGAGATACATTGAGAGAGTACAACACATGGAAAATACTGGAGACTAACCTGGTATGAATACTAAAATTTTGAAAACCTACATGATCAACAGTAATTTAGGCAATGGTTATCAAAAATAAAACTTTAGGTAATAGTTATCAAGTTGTAGAAATGGAGGGAAAGGATCATTACTCATTACTATGGCAATAGTGAGAAAGAACTAACTTAATACTAGAACTGTAAAGGCATTTCAAGTATATTTTGGCTTCTGAAGACCACTGTTCTGTCACCTGAATTATCTAATATTTTCCTATTAAAAAGCTATGATATGTCACCTGAACCGTGAATGCTAGGCACGCAAGTATTGAACATTATAAAACTAATGGTTTAGACAAGAGTATTCAGTTGACTATCATCAACATGGGTTCTTGGACTTTTCACATTCTCCTCTCTTCTACACTCTTAATAGGTAAACCAGCAACATAAGTTAGCAGCTCGGCTAGAAGGAAAACAGATGAGAGAAGTGTTTCTGATAAATATGCAAAGAATACATTATACCAAGTACCAACAGTAATAGAGCTCACATAACCAGCCATGTACTCATACTATACTCCCTATACGCACACCTCCTCCATGATTTTATCCTTATCACTTATGGTAAATGTAAAGATACAAACGATTACACCCCTGAACATGCATAATTAAGTCTTAGTTGCCGAAGAAATTATTATTATTGTAATTGTGGTGTTTAGGCCAGCTTGCAAGCACTTCAACTACCTCACACCAACACAAATACAGGGTAACTTTACCAGCCGAGGCTTAGGCAAATGGGAAGAACTCACTTAGGAGTCTTTGTCTCTACTATGTTCCATGGTTTTCATCTTCATTGACAGTTAGGCCACACCCTGGGGTGCAATTCCCAAAGAGAATTAACCACACCCAAATCCGAGTAACTTTCGGTATCAAAGGAAAAATCATTTGCATATAAGCATCTAGCAACATGCTTCATTAGTATATTTGCTATTCATAATTGGAACTAGACAAAAAGTGTCAGTGGCAAATTGGCCTGTTTTCACATTGTTCAATAATTACTTAGACCTTGGGAAGGTACTTTAACTTGAAGTAGGAGGATAGAATGATTTCATCCAGCTCGGGTACCAATAAAATCAGCCAGAGAATTGAGGATGAAATGCTTACTTTCTGACGAGTCCAGCCATTGTGTGTATTCCGAGAGTGAATTCTCATTAACTGGAAAAATAGATAAGCAACTTTAGTTGTACAAAAATATGACGACACAATCTATTTAGCCAGAAATAATCACTACCACACTGCAGATGTGAGAGTCATTAACAGCACAAGAATATACTCTGATAGAGTTGCACCAACATTATGCAACCACAAAAGGCACAAGCAGCAACCTAAAAAGAAGCACCAAACTGGTTTGCAGCCATTAGATTGCTTCAGTATGCCAAGGTTAGAATTAAGCTAGATTAAGGTTTTCTCTTTTTCAGTTGGTCAAATAATTTCTTTAAAAACCACCCAGTTGGTGTCAAAAAGTACTCTGCTCGATTCATTCCTCATCTTCACAAAGGTTCTAGATTGTAGTTGAATGCTGATAATTCATTGACAATATCAAACTCTCACTCTCACACAACCACCCCCCCCCTCCCCACGGCCTCTCTGGTTCTCAATCTTAGCAACTAGTCATATTAAGCAAGCACCTAAATTAAACAGTGGTCTTCCTATATGCCGCCTAAGGAGCTAACAAAGTCTAAAAGCTGATCAAAATTATTTAGAATATGATGGTTACTCCAGAAAAAAATGTTTCTAAGACATCTATACTTCAAAGCATGAATAGGAGAAGAGATTCCTTGAAAAGCATATTCTGCTATTTCTTTCCAGCCATAGGCACCAAAAAATAAAATAGAAGCTGGAACAGTCTGTCAGAGCTTTTTAATTGTTTCCTTACATTCTATTGTCCCCACTTATGTATGTGCTTTTATGCTATGAGGCATAACTCATTGAATGACAAATGGACAGGAATATACTCCATATATCGGCTGCAACTGGGCAATGCAAAAACAAGGCATAGGTAACATCTTCTGCTGAGGGAGAAGTCCCTTCTAATAAAATTTTCATGTGTCAAACACCTCCTTTAAGAGTTACCAAGCCGAAGAAACAATTTCTTTACTCAAGTGGGACAAATAATCAAGGGACTCTTAAGGATTTCCATCTTGAACCAATCAAGATACATGAGGAGAAGACAAACACTTATACTTGTAGAAGAAAACCAATCTAGCCCTCCCCTTGGACTAATTATAGAGTAGTTTGCTGGGAAGCAGTGTTTTTGAGAGCATGAAGCGCAAAAAAAGCAACTAGGCTCGCTTCACTAGAAGCGAGAAGCCAAGTGCTCTCTTCATTGAAGTGAAGCACAATTTCAAATATAAAATAAACCTAGCACGCATGAGTAAAATAACTAAATAAAAAAAGAAATCAACAGAAATAATATATAGAAGCAAATCTTTCAATTTAAAAACTAGAAAGTTGATAGCCAAAAATCCTTGATACGACAAGCAAAATAAAAAACAAAACATAAATGGATGATGCCATTTAAAAAATTGATGGCTCTCTATTTTGCTCAGATGATGCCATTTGAAATTGCTGTTAAGAGAACAAAAAATTAAAAAACAACTGTAACTCAAAAAAAGCTACTGAAAAAGAAGAGAATAAAACGAAGATGAGGAGAAAATAGAAATAGAATAATTAAAATTACACAGAAGAAGAATACGCAGCACATGAAAGAAAAAAGAGAGAAGAAGACAAATAAATAAACAAAATTCAAATAAATTAACAAAGTGAAGGAAAAAAAAAGAGAAACAAATAAAGAATATAAAAGCTGAAGAAGACCGAAACAAGAGAAGAGAAAAAAAAACGCAGCAGCAAAGAAGAACATAGCAGCATGATAATAATAATAATAAGAAGAAGAAGTAGCTGGAGAAAGTTGCAACCTAAGTCGCAGAAGAAAGCCGCACCAAGCAGTGATGAAATATTTTGATACAGTCTGCAATGTCTTTTTCTTCTTAAGAAGTAGACCTTTTTAAAAATAATTAGAAAAAGGGAATGCTTCCTCACTGCAGTTAACCATCATCCACCGTGATCTTGGGATATGAAGTGGGGTATGTCAGTTAACCTTCAAAGAGGTCATGCCTGAAGGAAGAGGGATAAGGAAGATATTTGGAGATTCAGTTTGCAATTCATTGGCAACAACATGGATCGGGAAAAAAATCCATTCCCTGAGTTATGCTTATACCATTTTAGCTTGCAATTAAATGTTATCCAAAAGTACCAAGTTTTTGCTTTAACTGTAATTGGAGAGAGAAAACAAAAGGATCACCAAATTCTGTAAGGGTACCGGATATCTCAAAAGGAAAAGCAAGGTACTCTCCTTCCTTAAACAAGAGCCATTAGCTCTTAAAAGTCGGCTACTTTCCAAAAAGCTTTCAAACTATTCTTTGTAATGATATCTTGCACTCTCAAATGAGAAAGAAGAGTTTTACACGTATCTCTGATCCAAATTTGAGATATAAGATCTCTTTGTCATGAATGGAATTAGTATCCACAATCTCCTTGATTCTTCGATTTAACAATATAATTTCAGATACAATTGTTTTGTTCCATTTTAAACCAAATGTAATGCAAGCATGGGACTACTATGGTATTTGATAAGCATTAACAGAAAAACAACACATGGTTGAATCCCAGTGGTCTGCTTCAAGAACAATCTCAATTTTAGCCCATTCCCACAGACATCAAAAATCATGTTCACCTAAACAAATGCAGAGCGGGTATATGAATACCAGAGATTCAGAAGTTCTAAATTTAGCTAGTATCTTAGATGGTATTGTAGCAATAGCACCAACTATTTTCACCAAATACAGTAAAATCTATTGAATGTGGAGAAAACAATCATATAGTTAATGCAATCTACATGGGGAATTATATTGGCCATAAATGCCATAATACTGGTAAAGTCGCTCCAAACAGTGAGAATCACTTCTCGACAACTCCCTAGATGTGCTGAAAGCACTATATGCAAAACTGATCACAATTTGGTCCACAAAAAGCTGCAATCCTACTCATCCCAGCGAAGACGAAGATAAATTATAGTAAAAATCGCTATGCAAGTGGTCTATGGCCAAGTAAGTCCCCATGAAAAAATAAGCTTTCTGCTTCAGAAAATCCAAATTCGGAACAAGATTACATTTGGTCTCTTTGACACCAAATCTTTGCAATTTCAAATTAGTCAATTCAGCAGAACTCTTCAAAGATATATACTACTTATTATACTAAACGAAGCATGACAATGGCGGAAAACTGTCTCAAGAAAGTGCGTATGTAGAAACCCATGATAAATTAGAAAGTAAAAAACTTAACCCCATTGAGGCAATTGAACTTCCATTCCTTCGAATTCAAGCATATTAACGGAATTGACAACAGAGAAACCAGGAAGTAATGAGCCACACAAAGAAAATTTAGCAAAAGGACTCAATTTTTCAATCAATAGCACAAACCTAGCCGAAACAGCACCTTTCCAATGTCCATCCATCATTCAGAATCCATTAAAACCCTTCAAAAATCCCAATTGGAATGCATTCCCAAAATCCCAAATTGGGAACAAGAAACGAACACCCAACACAACAATTGCAAGAATCAAGACAGAATTTTTAGCAGAAACCCCACATATATAACACCCACTGGAACCATCAAGAACAGGGGTGGAAAGAAAGAAGAGTACCTGAGCAAAAGCAAGAACTGCAATAAGGGCATCGACAGAAGCAAGACCCACATTCACTCCCATTAAAGCCTTAGGATAACAAGTCCCTTCTCTCAACTTAATCATGTTCTTCTCACTCCTTTTCTTTATCTTTTACAAAACCATCCGCCACCTCCAACTCTCTTACCCCTTTTTCCTCTAATACAGAGAAAAAAATGTGGACACACAATATGATGATAAGCTTATATATATTTGTGTACCCAAACACATACAATAAGTCTTGATGAACTAAAAAAAAAGAAAATGAAATGGTATCGAAAACGATATTCCTAATTCCCCTACTTTTTTCTCTTTCCGCAGCCTCGATGGTATCTTTTTCTTTGAATTTGCTGCAGATCCGCCCCTGGATTCTTACCTCAAACACTTCCTTTATACCCTTTTTCTCTCTCTCTCTCTCTCTCCCTCCGTAGACAAGAGTTGAGTTGGCCCTTTTGGGACAAGTACGAGTCCCTTCCTTCGTCTTGATGTCACGCGGTGGCTTTCAATAATTCTTTCAAACAAAAATATAACTCGTAAATTTACTTAGCACCTTAATTTTTATATTTTAAAAATAAAATTATTATTTAAAATAAAATAATTTTATTTATTTATTTATTTTTATTTTATTTAGCTGAAAGCCCAAATCCTTATAAATATCTTGTATCTTTAAATCCCCTTTCAATTATTCATAAAACTTCGTCTCTTACCTTTCAATAATTCTGCTTCAAGAACTCACCTTCAACCTTCAACCCTTCCAACCTTCTTTCAAGAAATCAACATTTCAACCTTCAACCCTTCCACCTTCTTTCAAAGAAATCAACATGGCAGTGCCTTATGATATAATAAGGCAAATCTTCTGCAGGCTTCCGATTAGGAGCATTTGCAGATTTCGTTCTGTATGTGTCTTTAGGGGAAATCTTGCTGCCCACATTAACAATTCTGCTGTTCTTACACTCATCCAAAAGAAGAAGGTAAACGATACTTCCTCTGTTTTTTCCTTAATAAACACTTCTAGAGAAGTAGTTCAACCTGTGAGTCCCTTTTCTAACCATCTATTTGAGATGGAGATGGTTGCCGCATAATATGTCTTTGTCGCCCCCTTGGGTGACATGATAACCCTTTGGAATCCTTCAACGAGGATGTTCAAAATAGACAGCTGATCTCAGTAGGTACGGCAGATACTGGAAATGATTTTCTTGTTGTTAGACTAATCTTCTCTACTAACAAACGAGAAATTGAGATCCTTTCAGTCAACAGTCGGCATTCCGAATGGATACATAAGGAGTCTGAGGTTCCCTTAGAAATTAGAGCATAAGAGCTCTTGTGACGTTGTTTTCAATAGAGAACCGTACTGGATAGCCATGCTCCGATGGCTGGCAACGGGACCGGAACCGGGACTACCGGACCAGGACGGACCGGAACCGGAACGGAGCCGGGCACCACAGGCCGGAACCGAACCGGAACCGGTAATTCCGGAAAAAAAATCAGTGTACCCATCCCGGACCGGTAACGAATCGATACCGAATTGGAAACTGGGTCCCAACTGTTATAATTAAAAAAAATTTATTAAAATTAGAAACATTACTCAAATAATATTAAAACTTTTATAATTTTATTAGAAGCAAAAAAATTTATACTTTTAAAGTTTTAAATACAAACTTTCAAACTTTAAAAGTATAAAAGTTTAAATTTCACAATTTAAAACTTTGAAAATTTAAATTCAAACTTTAAAACTATAAAAGTTTAAATTTCACACTTTAAAAGTTTAAAAATTTAAATTCAAACTTTAAAACTATAAAAGTTTAAATTTCACCCTTTAAAAGTTTGAAAATTTAAATTCAAAGTTCAAACTTTAAAACTATAAAAAGTTTAAATTTCACACTTTAAAAGTTTGAAAATTTAAATTCAAACTTTAAAACTATAAAAGTTTAAATTTCACACTTTAAAAGTTTGAAAATTTAAAACTATAAAAGTTTAAATTTCACACTTTAAAAGTTAAATTTGAAGACAATAATAAAAAAAATTAAGGTGATAGTCTATACTTTTATTAATATTAATTAAATACTACAAGTTGAGTTACAAAATATTAGTAGAGTATTAAAAAATATAATCTACACAGCCACCTTTTAGGAAGGGTTCTGTTTGAATTAGACCTCGAATTATTATACTCATACTAATAGACATTTAAATTTAATAGTTCATGCTACCAAGGAAATCTTTTTTTAAATCATTTAACATTTCTCTAGTAACATGCTCTGGAATTGGTTGATTACCTAGTTCTTCCATTGCATCAATGCCATCATCACTAAAATCTTGCATTATTTCATCAACGTCATTTTCAAATTTGGTCGGTAAAGGCAGACGACCATAACTCCTTCTCTCGCCATTAATCCAATCTTTAAATAGTACGGATATCTCCAAACTATATGCTGCTAATAAATATATATGCTCTCCAATTTGAAATCTTGTTGCACTAAAAGCGCCTTCCGAAGCTACTGAAGATGCTTGAATAGCTAACACATCTCGAGCAACCGATTGAAGTCTTGGAAATCTCTGGCCGCGATTGCTCTACCATTCTAGAAGATCAATAGTAGTAGGTTCTGTATTTTGATTAATATATTCATCAAAATCATTTCTATCATTATGAGAATGTTCAATAATACAATCTATCATATCATCTTCATTATTATATCTACTCCTAGAACTTTGAGGCTCTTCGTTATGTACTACATTCATTATATTAGAATTATACAAGTCGTACAATTTTCTAGCTTTAATTTTTATACTATCTTTAACATCTTGACAACTAGGTGTTTCATCATCTTCACTATCAATACCCAAATTAAAATATATTTTATCAACCATTCGTGATGCACCTTCATCTTTGTAATGTAGGTTTAACAAACAAGCAGTTAAATAAATTTGAGGAATAAGAATAAAATATTTTTAAAATTTTTCAATCATTTTCTTAACAGATTCTTCAAATCTTGGTTTATTTTTGAATTTATAAAATTTATTAGAAATAGCACAAATATTAGGTAAAACAAAGCAAATAATTGGATAATAAAGTGCTGATATTTTTTTTGTAGTTAAATAAAAAACTTTTAAAAATTCTATAAGTTTTTTTATGTCATTTCAATCATTATCATCAAGTCTATATGTCATATTTGAATTATGAGCATTCCAAACCATTTGTAAAGGTTTCCTATATTAATAAGCAACTTCAAGCATTTCAAATAAAAAATTTCATCTAGTACACACTGATTTTGAAATTTTTCTAGGTGGAAGATTAAATTCATGACAACGATTTTCAAAATCTCTACGTCTAAACTTAACTTGACATTTAAAAATAAAATGACATGCAGTTTCAACTTTTATGCAACCATCATCATACATTGTTATACCATCTCTAACAATCAAATTATATATGTGTGCAGCATACCTAATATGAAAACCATTAATATAAATAGGGCAAAGAGGCGGTTTTAGTATTTCAACAGTAGTTCTATTATTAGAAGTATTATCTAATGTGACACTATTTATTTTATCACAAATTCCATAGTTTTGTAAAACATCTATAATTGTTTGAGCTATATAACTACCGATTTTATGCATTTCACAGCATTTTTAACCTAAAATTCTTTTTTGCAAAGTCCAATCAATCCAATGCGCAGTAATAGTGAAATAATCATTACCATTTACACTACGACCCATATCAGAAGTAATAGTTATTTTACAATGGTTATAATAAAATAAACAACGAAGATATTGGAAATGTTGAGCTTGATAATCAAAGATAGCCTTTTTAATTGTATTTATAGTAAAACCTTTAAAATGTGGATTATACACAATTTAAATATAATGAATAAAATCAAGATTTTCATCAAAACTAAATGGCAAACCCATGATAACAATCATTTTAGTTAATTCTTCAAGATCTTTTTCTCTACTATATGACCGTTGTATACTAGAACTAGAAACATTAAAAGGATTTAATTATGTTTGGACCATATTAGAGCCCTCTACTCCTACATTTTCAGGAAGAGTGGTACCATTCTTTTTAGCTTCGGCTACAGCTTTAGCATGCAAAAATTCATTTTTACAACATGACATTAAATGATTACTCAAATGTCCCGTCCCACCCTGTTTTCCAACAGTTTTATGATTCATTCTATGTTTATATTTATTACAAATAGCTTGTGTTTTATCTTCCTTCATTCTGAGTCATAAATTGCCAAACAACTGATTTTTTGGCGCATTCTACCTTAGTCCTAGGATGCACGGGAGGAACGGAAGCAGGACAACGAAAGGGAGCGGGAGCCGAGGAAGAGGGATTGGGAGTGGGACTAGTAGCTGACGGTGGCTTAGTTTCATCATCATCATATTCATCAACATTATTATCAAAACTATCAATATAATCATTAACATTATCATGTTCATCATCTTCAGGTAACTCCTCATCAAAATTACCAAACCTTCTTTGTAAATGTTCATGATAAGGATCTAATCCACTATTACTATCAATATTAAAAACAGTTTCATCAACATGTGTATAATCATCCGTATTTATTCTTAATTGAAAAGTTTTTTTAGTTTTAGATTGAGAAGTACTACCGATTTTTTTATTTTTCTTGGATTTTGAGCTTCATAAATTAGTGATCGAATCAACTATGGTTGTTTTACCCTTGTCAACATTGTTTTTACCGGAATTCATATTCAAATATAAAAAAGTGAGTAAATTATATATAATATGAAAATGTAATGCAAAATTTTAAACAAATAAATAACTAAATAAGTAGAGACTAGAGACTAATTACTCACAAAATAAATAATTAAATACAAACAAATATATAACTAAATGAAAAGTGAGTTGGAACGAATGTACCAAACGTCTACTTAAAAAAGTAGACGTGTATGACCGGAAGCCAAAAATTGAAAGTTGAATTTTGAAGCTCCAATTTCCAAAGACCAAATTCGTAATTTTAACGGGAACAAGAGAATTTAGAGAGTAGAGAGTAGAGAGAGTAGAAGATATTTTTGTGAGTGAAAAGAATGAAAGATTAGGGGTATTTATAGTTAAAAAAAGGGATGAAAATATAGTTTTAAGAAGGTTGGGGTATTAAAAAAAGTTTAGGGGGTAGGGAGGTGTAAAGGGGAGTCATGGGGGTGAAAGAGCTGTTGGTGGGGCCCAAAACCCGTTGCCCAACGGCTATAATTTAAAATTTAAGATTAAAAAAAAACAAAACTGAACGAACCGGGACGAACCGGTAAATCCCGGTTTCCATCCCGTTACCCCTCCTGGACCGACACAATACTGGATCGAACCGGTACTAACCGGAATCGAGACGGAACCGGTAACAGATCGAAACCGGTACCGGTACCTCCCGGTTCCGTTGCCAGCCTTAG